CATAATTTCATGATTTTCTCTAGCTTCCCTCAGCAGCATGTGAGTTAGTGTGAAGGCAGAGGATGGTGGGAATAATCCAAGGTTGAGGGCTGGCAGACAAAATCTTTGATCGAATAAAGGGGCAAGGACTCAAAGGAAGAGGACAGTTTATCACTGAACTGATTCACCAAGGGGTCAAGATAGAGAAGAGAGAGGAGTGAATCCAGCACAGGGGTGATGGCTTGAGAAAGAACTGAGTGGTGGAAGGATTGGAAGTTATGGTGAGGACAAAGAACAAGTTTTGGGGTTTTGAGGCAAGGGAGAGGTAGAATGACAATAGTCTGTGATCAAATAAAGGAAATTCAGAATTTATGAATATGGAAGTACAGTGATTTGAGGGTGATGGCAAGGTTAAAGGAGGTCATGTAAAATTAGTAAGCTGAGAAATTAGTGGGTTAGGGTGCTCATCTTATCTTATATGTAACCCTAATTTGAGGACAGGATTTGGGAAGGAAAGAAAGACTATGAGCCAGGCACAGAACTCTATGAGAAAAAAGGAAAGTATCCTGGAGACAAGTAGACAACAACCACCAGAATCTTGAATGGATGATAAAATATGGATTGAATGAACCTCAAAGGAGTCAGTGTTACTGAGTGACAACAGTAGAGGTAGAGCCTGAAAGTGACAAGGGGGAACACAGAACATTCTTTGTTCCAACCCCACCAGCATGACCACTGAAGTGGGGTGAGGAGATATGAGCAAAAGTGCTAGAAAGGGTAGGCAGGGAAGCTGTGTCATCAGGAAGGAGCCAAGTCTCAGTGAGTACAAGAAGATGGAGGGAATGACAAAGGAAAAGATTTAAGCTGAAAACAAGTTAGCTATGGAGCAGGCATTCCTGAGAGCACAGGGAAAGGAGTGGGTAGCTTTAGAGTAGGTCATTGGCAGGGTTGGGTTGAGGGGGATGGGAATAAGAGAACAGTCAGTGGAGGACCAAAAATAGGGTTTGAACAATGGCATAGGTTCAGAATCACTGGGATGAAGAGAGAATGATAGGACAGGAGTATGTTACTCATTGAGGAATGAGTTCAGGTACTAAGTTATCCTTGTCCACAGGGGTTCAAGCCTGAGGGTAAAGTTGTTCCAGGGCCTCAGGCAGCAGTGTTTATCTGTGAAACAGATGAGCAGAGGGCAAGGCAACTTTTGTGGAGCTATAGGTAGCCAGAGAGTGCTTGGAGCATGTTTGAATGAATGTTCATGGAGGCTAAGAAACTCTCAGGCAAACAAGCTCATGTCCAGAGAGAGCATGAATGCTTGCTGACTCCTCATCTCAGCTACCACTGAGCTGGGTCCTGCGGGTCACTCCTTGCTCCTCAGGGTATCAGTGCTGAGATAGCTGCAAAACTTGGACAATAGAGTGCTGTGTTCATGAGGCTTGGTCCTGACCTTGCAAAACTCACAAGGTAGGAGGTTCCAATTCCTTCATTTAAAATGGGAAAGAACAAATATAAAGACCAAGGACCATAATAGGACCACATCCCAGTATTGGAAGGGACAACCCTAGGCCACTCCTCTTAAAGCATTTTCTCTCACATCAGTGGAATCAAAGAGATCCTCCAACAGTAAGCAGCTACAGAGAAAAAGGCTCTGGCCACTAGAGCTTTTAGAATGCCTTCATCACCTAGATTTGCAGTGAATCACAGAGCCTTCCTAGTCGCCATGTGGTTACCTAACCATAACTGTCGCAGAAGGTCTACACATGCTCCAATGTTTTTCCAGAAGCAGGCTCCTTGGTCCCTTCTCTATGGGGAGCCACCATCGGAGGCATTCTGAGCGTATGCCAGTCCCTATTAAGGAGGTTGATAGAGTCTGGTGAAGGTTTTATAAGGATGAGAGAGACTTGGTCATGTTTAAAGGCAGTAGAGAAGGAACCAGTAGATAAGGAGAGGCTGAAGATTTGAGAGAGGGTGCTATTGAGGTTGCAGTCTATTGGAAAAGACAGGAGGAACAGAGATCAAGGGCCCCTAGAGAGGTGTGGGTGAGAAGAATGGCCACCTCATTGTCTGAGGCTAGGAACAAGGAAAGGAGGGAGTAAAGGATGTCAAAAAGTTTTGAGATGAAAAGAAGGGGAGAAGAGGGAGCTCACATAGAATGGACTAATTTTTTTCTGTAAAGAAAAAGGTAAGGTCATTAGCTGAGGGGGTGGGGAGAAGTGTCAGAGGCTTGAAAGATGGTTTGGGATATCTTCTGGAATTGTAGGATCTTAATAGATGCCTGATGGATTGAAGTGCTAGAGTGAATTGTAAAGGACCATGGATTTGAGCCTGAGGTTTGGGATTCAAAACCTGGCTCTGTCCAAAGTCTGGCCTCTGGGCAGAACTATCTGACTAGTGCCTAGGAAGTCCTTTCCTTTCTCTACTTTGAGAGGCATCCCCTACTTCCCAGCCTGCAAAAAGACATCATTCCTTCCTTGAATTTTCTTGTAACCATTTGCTTAGATTTCTCTTTTGCCCTTACTGTATTTTGACTCTGACCCTTATACATTCTGTGTGACCTTGGAGAAGTCAAGTTTCCTTGTCTGTTCAACGAGAGTGCTGGTTTAGATGCTAAATCCTATCAGTCAGTCACTCAGCAAGCATTTATTAAGCATTTACTGTGTGCCTGGCACTGTGCCAAATGCTGGGAATACAAATACAAGCAGAAAGAAAGACAATTCCTGCCCTCAAGGAGCTTTCATTCTAATGAGGTAAGAGAACATATAAAAGGAAGCTATAAGGGGAGGAGGGTGATGAGAGGGGAGGAATAGCCTTGTGGGCTCATAGTAAAGAAAATCTAGAGAGGCCAGAGTGCAGCCTGGAAAGGAATGAGACATAGCTGGCCTGGGTACCCTCCATAAATGGAGGTTCTAGGAAGAGTCATCCAATTGGTGGTGGAAGGTATATCCAATGTATGGATTCCAAGTCTAGCATGGCCTTCCAGCAGGCAGAGGTTTCTAGGGCTTGGTAGAAAAGTCTGTATAGTGAAAGTGTCCTACTTACCCATTCTACCTTGTGCACTAACCTTGTGCATATTCCTCAGATTCAATTCAGTGACTAAGGAAATACAATTCAGTTAGGCTAAAAGGTTACAATGACTGGGGAAAAAATGGTCCCTGGCTTCAAGGTACTTATATTCTAAGGTCCATTCCCTTCTCTCCATTAGTCAGTAAACTCCTTGAGGGCAAGGACTGGGTCCTTTTTCATCTCTGCATTGCTAGCATCTATTCAGCAAAATGCTTTAGGGCCTTAAACACAGTAGGTACTTAATAAATGCTTGCTGAATAGAATTCTGTGCATGGCCTCCTACCAATCACTGCACAGACAATATAACAAATGAAACCCTGGTGCTTTACCCTCCCTCCCTCCAGGTTGCAGTCCTTTGGGACTCTTGGACCTCCTTTTTCAGCACCCTATTTCCTTCTGTTGGCTCTCTCCATCACAGTATCTCTTACTGTCCCATGATCAGGTGCTTGTATCCCCAGCATATGTTGGTATGCGGGTGCACAAGTGGGGCTGCTCGCTCCTTGCACCAGCTTATGGAGGAAGGAATGTTTGTGTGTTTTCCCTTTGAGGACTGGGAGACATTTTAACTCCCAGAAAGAGGCACCAGCAACCCCTCCAAAACCTCTTCTACCATTCCACCCCCACCCCTTCCCCAGTATTTTCCTGTTCAGGCCTTCAAGCTGTCTGGAGGAAAATTCACACTTAGGTGTTAATGAGCACAGAACATGAGATTTTAGAATTGGACTCTGAGCCACCCCCACCCAGAAGTATTTACACTTTGAAAGAAGAGCCTGGAATGGCAATGTTTAACCCAAGAGAATGGATTTCTTCTGATGGTGGAATTTCAGACTATGATCTATCTAGGTATTTTGGACGTGAAGAGCCCTTTTCTAGTGTGTGTGTGTGTGTGTGTGTGTGTGTGTGTGTGTGTGTGTAGGGAGTGAAGTTCTGTTACTAGAGCCTAGCTAAAGATTCCTTCCTAAAGTGGTAAACCAAGGTGAACTTTGTTTCCGGAGAGTGGAGCCTCCTTTCTCTCTTCTCCCTCCCTCCCTCCTTCTTTCTCTCCTTTCCTCCCTTTCGCAGTCCTTTTTCTCCTGGGCTGCTAGCACAGTGTGAGATCACCTTCTCCCAGGACACCCTGTCCACTCCCTGGGCTCATGCCCTCCTCCCTAAAGCACCGCGCTATTACCACCAGCGGGTAAGGTGTTCCCCTGGGATGGCTGGCGTTGTCATGGTGATCCTTTATCTCAATCAATGCGGGCAGGACCAGGGAGGGGCAAGAGAAAGAGGGAGTGGAATAAAGAAAGGGGAGGAGAGCTGAATGACCCACCCAGCCCAGGCTCTGGCTCGCTCCCTCCTCCCCCTTTCTCTGGGAGTGCTCTGAGAGGGGTGGGACACAGGGGGCTGGGCGGGGGAGGGGCGGGTTGGAATTGTTTTATAGCGTTTCTCAGGCCAATGAGAGGGCGGGGAACTGGGATGGAGGTTGGGAGGGAACCGAGGGGTTTCCCGGGGCTGCCCGCCGGCCCCCAACAGCCCAGTAGTGACCCCCGCCCCCCGCGCGCCCCCCCCTGGGACCTTTCCCTCCCCCTTGCACTCCCTCCTCCACCCCGCTGGTCTTGGAAGCGGGCAGCTCCCGATGGAGGCGACTCTGCCCAGGGATGCCCGGAGCTGCCGGGAGCTCCGCTGGGCGGTAAAGTTTGCCGGCTGACTCGGAAAGTTGCTGCTTCTCCCCGCTCCGCTCTCTTCCCTCCTCTCTTGCCTTCTTGCCTCTGCAAGGCCAGTTTTTCCGTCCCCCTCCCGGCTCCCGCCTCCTGCAGTCCCCTGGCCCCTGCCTGCCTAGAGATCTCAGACACAGGGGGATGTGAGCCTCCCAGCTGCTGATCAGAGGGAGGGAGGGAGGGAAGAAGGAAGAGAGTCAGGGTACCAGGGAGCCAGCAGGTTACCAGGGAACCTCTGGTCCTCTACTGCTATCGCCCAGGAGACTGGGCTTATTGCTCGGGCTGGGTCACTCTCCCAGAGAAACTGAGCTGGCCAGGGGGACAAGTGGAGTGGCCCCAGCCCCACCGGACCTCCGCCCACCATGGGCATCCAGGGCATGGAACTCTGTGCCATGGCGGTGGTGGTGTTGCTCTTCATTGCTGTCCTCAAGCAGTTTGGGATCCTGGAACCTATGTCCATGGAAGGTAATCTTTGCTGTGCTTCCTCTGGGCCTCCGTTATCCCCTTTTTATCCCCTCCTTTCTGGGCAGATAGGACTCTTGGAGGCTCTCTCCCAGTTGTCTTCTTTTCACAGCACTCCTGGATCCTTAGAGGGACCCCCCAAATTGCTATTCTCCTCCTGGGCTAGAGTTGATATCCTAGCCTGGCTGATGGAGAGAAGCAGGGTGTCCTAGCTTTGTTTCTTCCTTCTTCCCCAGAGGAGTTGGTGGGTCTTCCCTAGCCATCTCCAGAGGAAGTTCTGGACAGTATAAAGATGTTGGTTCCTTAGGAATCACCTTTGGGGATGATGGAAAAAGAGGTTTATTTTTGAAGCCACTGAGCTCCTTCCCCTCTGACTGACCCCTTCTCTTCTATGTTGCCGTGGCCCCTTTAAGTTAGTCTCCATCAATATTAACCCTTTACTCCTTTCCTTGCTGACTTGGTCTTGGACAACTGCAATGTTTTTGGGGAGGAGGAGGAAGTTAGGGGTGACCAAAAGTGAACATGAGGAGGAGGTAAGGGGGAAAAGTGGGGTCCTGTAGCTTTTCTCCTAAACATACTTGTTCTATGACCCCTGGAGGAATGCTGGACAGCTGAGGCAGGATTTAGGGTTAATAGTGCTGGTTTTAGAGCCTTGATGTATTCTAGACTGGCCAAGGCCCATTTTCTCTGGGATGCCTGGATTTCCAGCGTCTTGTTTTTATTCTCAGGCATGGAATATGTGTGTATGGAAGAGCAACCTAGTGTGTCCTCCCATACCATCCCAAACCGTCGAGGGTGGCAAAGAAAGAGTCATGTTCTAAGAGACGTATGGTGGTAACAGGAAAGGAGGGGACAAGCTCTCGGGGCAGAGATTCCCAGGCCTTCCTATCCCATCTTTCCATCTGATCAAGTCACTAGGGACCAGTAACACCTGGCTTAATGGGTCTCCTATCCTGCCCGTTCTCTTCAATCTCTCTGGCAGGAAGGAAGACCCTACTGAGGTTAAGGTCATGTCATTTCTGTCTCCACCTGCAGCCATCACATCCTCCTTAGAGAGAGGACAGTCACTGCCATATCAGTTACTACAGCGCCACCTCAGCATTAACTGAAGAGCAAAGCGGCTTCTACTTGCCCTTAAATCAAGACATTGAATCCTTTCCCAGGACCCCTCAAGGACGCTTGTCTGCGGCTCCCTCCCTATCCCCACCCCGCCTCCTGCTTCCCTCTTCAATGCATCATTTCTGTGGCATCTGACCAGCCAGCCTGGTTGAGCGGAACCAGAAGGGAGGTGGGTCCCCTTAAATGTGATTTCCCCCAGCCTTTTTAAACTCCATTCTAGACTGTCTCTCCTTTCCTTTCCCTCTCCCCTCTGCCACATAAAGTACACTCCCTTTTGCTCCCCCAAACCCCTCCCCTTTTTTCTCTCCCAGCCCAGCCAGGGCAGCTCTTGGATAGAGATATGCTAGGATTTGATTGGTCACCACTGCCACTGCATGTCCCCAGATTCTGGAGGGATAGAGGACAATGTCCTGCCTGCCTCAGCATTATATTGACCTTGTGTTACTGACCCCATCCCCGTGGGGCTATAGCTCTGAGCTCCCTGGTGAGGTATGGGAAAGAGGGAAGACTTCACTATAGATTCTTGTGCTGCAACAGTAGGGCAGTAGTGTCTCCATGGACAGAGCCATGAATCCCCCTTGCTTCCTAGGGTGGGTGGTGCTACCCCAGCTTGGACAAGGAGCAGCTTGGGTCAGGTTAAGAAAGGAGGAGCTAAGAACCCTAGTGTTTCTTTGCAATGAAGAGAGAGGATTAGTTGGGGCAGTGTGGGTTGTTGGTGGGTGGGAACTGCTGATGTGTCTTCAAGTGATTCAGCTACCCAGTCCCTCCCCACTTTATCTCCACGGGGATCCAGAATCAGGGAAATATTGTGCCCCCTACTTCTCCTTTATATAAAGTGTCACACTGGTTCCATGTATAAAGTATGAAGTTATTATTTCCAATGAGATTATAGAATCCTAGAATGTAGGAGCTAGAAATGGATCTTAGAGATCACCACCTTCAGAAGAGACTCAGAGAAGTAGTGACTTGCCTAAGGCCTGATCTGGGAAGATGTAAGCTTAGCTTTCTGGATTTTTCCTGTTTGAGAGAAGCAGAACCTATAAGACAGTGAGCCCAGGGGCCTGATCTAAGGCTGCATAAACTCACCAGTCCATTGATAGAGGAAGATTGGGGGCATAGGAGTCAGCTCATGACAGGAAAATGGATGAAGTGACTTGGGTATACAAAAAGCTTTCAATTTGGAGTGAAGGAGGAGACAGACAGACACATGCACACGTGTGTGTGCACGCACACACACAGAAAGAGAGAGAGAGAGAGAAAGCTCCGTCTAGTTGCAGGGCACAGAGGTGGCAGCCTGGTCTAGAGTCAGAAGATCTGAGTTCAAATTTGTACACACCTGATTTGTAAAAAGAATGAGTTAACACAGGAAGTTACTAGAGCATATGCTATGGTGGCATCCCAGGAGAACTCTTCCCTAGGTGAACTCTTCTGTGACATACTACCTCTCCACTGCAGCAGAGTTTGAGTGTATGTTAACCTGTGTCCTTTTTGTGCTATTTGCCCCAGACACAAACATTTATAGGTAAGCTCTGGAAGGAAAATGCCATCTAACACTTTTAATCAATCACTCAACATTTATTAAGCATCTACTACTGTGCCAGACGCTATGCTAAACACTTTGCATACAAAAAGAGGCAACAGACAGTTCCTGACCTCAAGGAGCTTACAATCTAATGGGGGAAACAACATACAAACTGATATATCCAAAGCAAGCTATCTACAGTATGACTAGGAAATGTTGTTGTTTGTCCTTTGTTTTCAAAGAGGAAGAGGACCAATGACATCATCGGTGACATTTTTGACTTGTTCTTGAATTGGATGTAAGTGACTCAGAGTTGTACAAAGTTGTCAGCCTCATTCTCTCTTCCTTTTATCCTGCCACTGGAATTCAATGACTCAGGAAACAAAAAATAATTAACAGAGGGAAGGCCCTGGGATTAAGAGGAGTTGGGGAGAGCTTCTGTAGAAGGTGGGATTTTTGTTGGGAGTTAAAGAAAGTCAGGGAGGTCAGTAGTCAGAGGGGAGGAGAGAGAGCATTCCAGGTATGGGGGAGAGTCAGAGAAAATGCCCAGAGTTGAGAGATGGCGTGTCTTGTTCATATAACAGCCAGGAGGCCAGTGTCACTGGACTGCAGATTATGTGATGGAGAATAAGAGTGGAAAGGCAGGAGGGGACTAGGTGATGAATGCCCAACAGGATAGTTTGTATCTGCTTCTGGAGTCAGTAGGGAGTCACTGGAGTTTAATGAGTAGGAGGGTGACATGATAGGATCTGTGCTTTAGGAAAATCACTTTCGTAGCTGAATGGAGGGTGGATTAGAAGGGGGAGAGATCTGAGGTGTGAAGAGAAGAGGACCTGAACCAAAGTGCATTGCTAGATGGCATTTTATGTTTCAAGTCCTCTCTCTTATTTGGAACTGGACTGAGAGAGGAGGGTCAGTGCAGAAGTAGGTTGTGAACTCAAATGATTGGACATGGCACTTCTTTTCTGTGCTTGCTTATAGTGTTTAGGCTAAGCAATCAAGGGGATCATTAGAAGGGACATTCAAGGTCATTAATAGAGCTCCATTTTACAGCTAAGAAAACTGAGCCCCACAGAGGGTGTGACTTGCTCCAGTTCACACAGATTAATGAATAGCAGATTAGAGCTTCAAAGTCAGATGCCAGTGTTTAAGGATAAGGACTAGATTTGAAACCAGAGCAGCTGGGTGTGAATGCCAGCTCATTTGACCTATAAGTTAGCGAACCTCAGTCTTCCTATCTGTAAAATGAAGGGTTTGGATGTTTGAAGTCAGAACTGGATGAACTTAGGTCTTTCCCAGCTCTGAAATCTATGGACCTCTGAGTTCAAATCCATCCAATTGAGAATTTAACGGTGTTATCTAAAATGATGTATGCTGGTGTCCTTCCTCTGGAAATGAATTTGTAAATTTTCTATGTTCATGATTTACCCTCCACTGCAGAGAAACTCCTTGAGAGGAGTCTTGTTTCATTGTTGCCTATTTTCACAGTATTTCACACAGTTCCTATTACATCATAAAGACTTTAAAAATGCTTGTTGTTGAATGGTCCAGATAAGGGCTGTGCTACAGTTTGCTTTTCCTTGCTACATGGGAAAAAGTTTGGTGGAGCAGATGCATAGCATAAATAAGATAGGGGGCAAGGGGCCAGGATGTTAATTTTAAGGGAATAAGCTTTGCAAGCATTTTGAAAGTTCCTATTTTTATATGCTCAGTTTAGATATGCTAATTATGAATCATCCTTACCTATCCATTCATAGTGACAGTATTTTGCTCATAGTATGCGCTTAATAAATTCTTGTTAGTTTGTATTGGATTAAAGCAGACTCAGCAAGCTCTCCAGTAGGCAATGCATTGCTAATCTAGTTCCAGTTACTGTATGGATTTGAAGTTGCATTTTTTGAAAAATTCAGACTTTTTACTTATTTAGACTGTCTTCCCCATAATGATTCTCAGAAGTCTTGAGGATTGACTCCATCCCACTAATTACCATGGTGGCTCTAATGTGGATTTCCAGACTATGAGGTTAGCAGTTTGATTGCGAAAGTGAGAGGGAAAGGGTGAGTGGAAAGGAAAGGAAGGAATCCCAACTCTATTTTAAAAAAATTTTTTGAATTTTATTTTCAGCTCTGAAATATCTCCCTCCCACCCTTTCTTCCATTACCCATTGAGAAAGCAAGAAAAAGAAAATTTGTTACAAATATTCATAGTCAAGCAAAACAAATCCCTATATTGTCTCATCCAAAAAAAAATGTTTCGTTCTATACTCTGAGTTAATCACTTCTCTATCTGGAGGGATAGCATATTCCATCATGAGTTACCTGGAGCTGTGGTTGGTTCCATTATGTTAATTAGAGTTTCTAAA